CCAGTACCTCAATTTATTGATTAATTGGTCTTTGAGAAAAAATTTCATCATATAGCTGTCAAATTTGTGTTCAAAAATTTTGTTTGTAGGTTTATAACCTACCAAAACGCGCGCCGAGTTGGACTTGTCGACGGTCCTGATATTTTACGAGTATCACCCGTTAAAAAATTTGTCCGTTCAACATTTTTTCAAAAATGTTAAATTATTTAAAGTTACGAATGACAAATGGATGTTTTAGCAAAAATTGAAGGACTTCGCCGCTTCGACGCGCCGCGCAAACTAGCATTCTTCCTTCCTCTGGAAGAATTGACATCGTCAATCAAAGCAGAAAAAAAGGAATTTTGGAGATCCAAGATCGCGGGAAATTTAGGTTTCGTGTCTATCCGTCACAATTTACCATGACAACAAGATCAGAAGGACGCGCGCAGCGCGAGAGGGTTGTTTGCGGAGATTTGTCGCCTCACGTTGTAGGCCCGCCGCGCAAGAGTGCGCGGCTTGGCTGTTGGCTGTATTGACGTATTGTGGCTTTCGCTACGATAGTAGCAGAAATGATAAGGATATTAATTGATTGACGATGTCAACCCTTCCAGATCGTTCACAGAAAAACTGTGTAAAAGATCGAAATAAATTACTTCATGTCAACTCAATCTCACTTCCTTTTTCATTACACAGTTTTTATGTACCCTGCATCTTCCCCTTCTCACTTATTTCTCACTTTCTGCTCATCTCGCCCGCTCAATACATCTTTCCGACGACTCTCTTATCTTCTATAATGATTCCGATTCCCTTCATGGTTTCCGATTCCCTTCATGGTATGCCCCTTTTTCCGCCTTCGGCGGCGCGCGCTTCGCGCGCGAAAAGTGGCATGCAACGTATGTCAAGTCACGCAGTACGCATAGACACATGGCTATGTGAACCCGAAAACCAGTCAGGTGCTATTATACACCATTGAGCTATCTGAATCTCGCCGACAACTCAATCCCAACAATTCACTACTTGTATATTGTACTAAACATTACATGCCTTATTATATTATATCAGCTGCTGTGTTACACACAAGTGTGTAACTCACACTCATTAACACTAATAATTATACTGACCCACCAGATGAATTATATTTGACATACGTTGCATGCCACTTTTCGCGCGCGAAGCGCGCGCCGCCGAAGGTATGCCGCCGAAGGCATGCCGCCGAAGGCATGCATAGTTGCAACATTGGATTCTTCGGCTACTTAAACATGGCATAAAATATGGCTGTGGCTAGAATCCCACCCCCATTTTAATTTAAGTCTGTCCATCTCGCCCACACAAAACATCCTTCTCTGTTATGACACAATTTATCTCCAATTTATCTCCTTTCGTCTCACTTACTTTTGTTGTTATATTAGGGGCTGCCCACACTACGCCTCTATTCCCCGAATGTCTGCCCACACTACGCCATGTTTTGACGGGCCACATGGCGTGGGTCAAAAAAACCGGATTCACACAACGAGGCGCGTAGTGTGGGCAGAGCTCCCGCCAGTTGGCGTGGAAACTCGATCGGGGAATTCTGGCACGGATTTTTAAAATTCGGGGAATAGAGGCGTAGTGTGGGCAGACCCTTACACATTTTCTCTACCCTGCATCTCCCTCTTATTTCTGCTCAATACATCTTTCCGCCGACTCTCTTCATATCTTCTATAATGACACTTAATTTAAGCCCTCTCACTCTTTCTGCAAGAAAAAGTGAGAGGACTTAAATATTTTAAGTTCTAGCATAATTAGCTTCCATAATGAGGTCTGATCGTCATCTTCTTACAGCGTTCGATGTCTGTGTGAAGGTAAAATGGTGATATCCTCTGGATCAGGCAGAGGTTGAGTGTTATCGGGATTATTTCTTTAGTAGTGGAACAGCAATACTAAGGTAATGGGACTACTGCGGACCCTCTACCGGCCAAACCTTGTTAACAAAGCCGCAGTCAAGGTTCGGTGAACGGTAGTTAAAAGCGCTTAAGGGACATAAGTCAAATTGGTAGAGCAACATCATGTAGTGGACATCTTAAGAAATGAGGAGTGGGTAGAATGTTAGGTTGCTCCTTTATAAATCGTCTTTTTCTCCGATAATAAGTTGACATCAAGTCTTGAAAATTATTCGAGAAGAATCTCGAATAATTTAGTTGCAGCGTGCCACATGGCTATCTAAACTGCAAACCCTACCCATTGCTGAGCAAGGCCTTTATCTTCTCCGACGAGCGGGATCATCAATAATGAGGTCTGATCGTCATCTTCTTACAGCGTTCGATGTCTGTGTGAAGGTAAAATGGTGATATCCTCTGGATCAGGCAGAGGTTGAGTGTTATCGGGATTATTTCTTTAGTAGTGGAACAGCAATACTAAGGTAATGGGACTACTGCGGACCCTCTACCGGCCAAACCTTGTTAACAAAGCCGCAGTCAAGGTTCGGTGAACGGTAGTTAAAAGCGCTTAAGGGACATAAGTCAAATTGGTAGAGCAACATCATGTAGTGGACATCTTAAGAAATGAGGAGTGGGTAGAATGTTAGGTTGCTCCTTTATAAATCGTCTTTTTCTCCGATAATAAGTTGACATCAAGTCTTGAAAATTATTCGAGAAGAATCTCGAATAATTTAGTTGCAGCGTGCCACATGGCTATCTAAACTGCAAACCCTACCCATTGCTGAGCAAGGCCTTTATCTTCTCCGACGAGCGGGATCATCAATAATGAGGTCTGATCGTCATCTTCTTACAGCGTTCGATGTCTGTGTGAAGGTAAAATGGTGATATCCTCTGGATCAGGCAGAGGTTGAGTGTTATCGGGATTATTTCTTTAGTAGTGGAACAGCAATACTAAGGTAATGGGACTACTGCGGACCCTCTACCGGCCAAACCTTGTTAACAAAGCCGCAGTCAAGGTTCGGTGAACGGTAGTTAAAAGCGCTTAAGGGACATAAGTCAAATTGGTAGAGCAACATCATGTAGTGGACATCTTAAGAAATGAGGAGTGGGTAGAATGTTAGGTTGCTCCTTTATAAATCGTCTTTTTCTCCGATAATAAGTTGACATCAAGTCTTGAAAATTATTCGAGAAGAATCTCGAATGTCAACTTATTATCGGAGAAAAAGACGATTTATAAAGGAGCAACCTAACATTCTACCCACTCCTCATTTCTTAAGATGTCCACTACATGATGTTGCTCTACCAATTTGACTTATGTCCCTTAAGCGCTTTTAACTACCGTTCACCGAACCTTGACTGCGGCTTTGTTAACAAGGTTTGGCCGGTAGAGGGTCCGCAGTAGTCCCATTACCTTAGTATTGCTGTTCCACTACTAAAGAAATAATCCCGATAACACTCAACCTCTGCCTGATCCAGAGGATATCACCATTTTACCTTCACACAGACATCGAACGCTGTAAGAAGATGACGATCAGACCTCATTATTGATGATCCCGCTCGTCGGAGAAGATAAAGGCCTTGCTCAGCAATGGGTAGGGTTTGCAGTTTAGATAGCCATGTGGCACGCTGCAACTAAATTATTCGAGATTCTTCTCGAATAATTTTCAAGACTTGATGTCAACTTATTATCGGAGAAAAAGACGATTTATAAAGGAGCAACCTAACATTCTACCCACTCCTCATTTCTTAAGATGTCCACTACATGATGTTGCTCTACCAATTTGACTTATGTCCCTTAAGCGCTTTTAACTACCGTTCACCGAACCTTGACTGCGGCTTTGTTAACAAGGTTTGGCCGGTAGAGGGTCCGCAGTAGTCCCATTACCTTAGTATTGCTGTTCCACTACTAAAGAAATAATTAGCTTCCGTTAGGAATTGGGTCGGCGTTGGGGTCACTGTAGAGGGTTGATGTTTCGAATAGTCATTCAGGGCCACCTAAAGAACGTGTTAAAGAAGTCACTTGACAGTCGAGTGTAGAGTGATTAATCATCATCCATCCACTCGAAAGCCATGAATCGGGACAAATTAAGTTCATTATCATTATCTCAATATCATGATTATTACTTGCTTTGTTCAAAACTACCACAATTCAAATTACACTGTTTTAAATTTAATTTAAACATTATCATTTATTTGATTTCAATGTGAACTTCATATCAACATGGATTCTAATTCATAGTAACTGTACTTTTAGTTGTTTCACCATTATACTTTGAGCAGGCTGTGAAAAATGAAACTAATTCAGTTTCAGATTAGTAGAATAGATAAAATATAATTTCGATGACTAAAAGTAATATTAACAAATCCGTTAAAGTAGGTATAGTCTAACGGGGAATTCAAATAAAGAATCTGGCATGATAAAAAGAAGTCTCTAGGATATAACTATGAAAGGTTTAACTTTTATCAATATCAGGTATATTTAGGCAAAATAAGAAAACCTTAGGCGAAAGGTTCAAATAAAAATTACAAAACGAATGAAAATTCAAATATCAATAAAATAAGTTTATTACTTCAGGTATAAACATGCGTCTTTACTTTATACGCGTACACTTTATGTACAAATAAAACTTTAAATGAATAACGATGTTAGCATTGAATCTTAGATACTAAATGGTTTTCACTCTAGAATTTCGGCCACAAAATCAGAACTTTTTGTTAAAATATCAGCTTTATTTTTACACCCCAAAAACGACATAACAAGGAATAAATAGCGAACAGTTTTGATGCAATATCCTGTGCTGAAGCAGCCGAATTTGTTTGTTCCGTCACGTGACCAACATCACTCAATCACACTGGTCACGTGACCAACATCACTCAATCACACTGGTCACGTGACCAATATCACTCAATCACACTGGTCACGTGACCAACATCACTCAATCACACTGGTCACGTGACCAACATCACACGTGACAAGTTAGGTTATCATGACAAGTTAAGCACCAGTTCGACGCAATTAATTATGAATTTATTAAGCACAAACTAACAGTGAGTAGTAACGTGTTAGTAACACGTTGTTTAGTTCAAGCTACGGGTAGAGAGTAAGGGTTGACGTCAATAACTAAAGTCTCATCTGGTACAACTTGTCGGTACTTATCATGATCTGTAACCCACATCTCTGCTATGTCCTGCAAATTTACATTATTAATAGAAAGTTTGTTGCTTTCTAAGGTCTTCCGCGACCAATAATTCTACTAAATGTAAATGCTAAAAGTATAATGCTAACAATGATTTGACTCACATGATTGATAGCCAGCATCTGAAGCATATTAAGAAGGGATATAACGTGACAGGAGTAAAGAACATTGGAACCGTGCCAACGTTTCCCTTCTAAAATATTCCTCGTGCTTTTACTATAATCCTTTTCTTGCAGTACCACCTGTTACAAACAGTTTAGAATATTGCGGATATTCCGCCACACGACAACATTTAGTTATAGCTAGTTATTTAACGGTATTCTCGCAACTTTGGGATAGCGAGAGTTGCGATGAATATAAACTGTTTTTCCGGAATAAATCATTTTGGTGTTATTAATTATGTAAAATAATACCCCCCCCCCCCCCCCCCTAAAACCCCCCCTCGTAATAACCTCAATCCAAGGTTGTGATGACTGTTTGTTGAGAACTGTTGTTGTCATGGTAACACGTGACAGCTGCTCTGTTCTGTGACTCTCAGCCGCCTCCCCACCCACCATCTCAACTATTTGCTCTGTATTCTCACCCTGAACACGTGACACAGTCAATAACACGTGACACAGTCAATAACACGTGACACAGTCAATAACACGTGACACAGTCAATAACACGTAACACAGTCAATAACACGTGACACATTCAATAACACGTAACACAGTCAATAACACGTGACATAGTCAATAAGGCAGAGGAATAAGACAAGAGATTCAACATAGGATTATAGGATAGGTAAGCTTAAATAATATTGTAAAACAAATAGAATCGAAGTTCGAACAGATAATTAACAGTCATGTTGAATACACTTACATCTGATTTAAGGAATAGATAAACTCCAACGAAAGGATAAACTATCCGGTCATCATGATTCTTAACCAGTGGGGGTAGCTTGGAGTCTGTGTTTACTTCTTCTACCACTTTGTACTCTTCTTTTTTAGGGACTACCATTTCTTGCTTGGTATTTTCTTTGTTAGATCCTTGTTTAGCTACGTTTTTATCGAACTCTTCAATTTCTTTGAGTTTCCGTTTAGCTTTTGCGTCGACCGTCTTTTGAGGTGCCTCTTGTTGGCAACTTCTAGGGACAAGATTGGAATTGTTAAGAGACGGTTATGGGTCGGATCAAGGTATTTTTTCTTTTTTATATGAGAATTGAGAAAAAGAAAACGTTGTATTATACAGGGTGGCCCATAAGTGACTACCCACACGCAACCTCTTAATAACTCACGTAATTCGTCTCCAAATTGCACCAAAATTTCAGAGATTATAGATATGGGTCAAACTTAGATTTCCTGAAAGTTTCGTAAGCCACGCCCAATTACAGTGGGCGTGGCGTGACACTCCCTCTTTTTCACTATTGTCTTCATAAAATGAGAACGCTTTAAGCTAAGAACTCAAAATTTTTTGCACACATTTGGCTTGATAATTGAAAACTTTTCCCAAAGTTTCAAGTTCATTGGTTAAAATATGGCTAAGTTATGACCATTTCAAAACTCATCGGATACGTGATCCGAGCACTCAGTCAGTGATCTCGTCACTTGGTTAATGGCCTGTTTGGCTCACATGCACCGCTTGATTGGTTGCAGCCTGCTTATGGGCCGGCCTATACAGCTGACAGCACCTAAAACGCTATCACACGAATTTATGGTGGTGTCACCATTTCAGGGCTTGTTAGCCCTGCTAGTCACAGGTTCCTTACAATCAATAAAAAGGAATGAACCATCCATTGAATCATCGAAAATGGTTCACTATCCTCCCTTTACTGCAGAACAACGATTGTTCGTCTACCTGAAGAAAGAAAATGGGGAGTTCTACCCTCAGATTAAACACCAATTTCAGATGAAATTCAACCGACCACCTGCACCCCCTTGCCGGAAAAGCTGCTTTGACATTCATCACAAGATCAAGTTTGCGTTTTCTGGACACGATCGGCGAAGAGTCGGCAGAAGACGAACTGTGAGGACTGTAGAAAACATCACGATGGTTGTTGGTGACGTGATGGACAAACCTAAGATTGGCACCCGGAAACGAGCTCCTGCCTTAGACATCAGCAGAACAACCCTTCAGCGAATCCTAAAGCAAGACCTTTCTAACCGGGCCTACCGAATCACAAAGAAACACAAACTTTTGGACCGTGATCTGTCGCAGTTCTCCTTCAACAACTCCTACCTCACCACGGACTGGTGGTTCATGCAGGATGGAGCTCGACCTCACATCGTTCTACCAGTTCAGAATTTCCTCGCTAACAAGTTCGCCCACAGAACCACAGAAATTTTTATTAGTTGATTTCATTTATTGATTTATCCTAAAAATTTGTGTTTTCCTTTCTAGCAAAGTCATCATCGGTATCCAATCAAAGCCTAATGAACCTCATTAATACACGCTAACGCCTTACTCTTGATCAGATTGGGTGACGAGATCACTAATTGAGTGCAAATATCACTGACTGAGTGCTCGGATCACATATCCGATGGATTTTAAGTCTTGAAAATTATTCGAGAAGAATCTCGAATGTCAACTTATTATCGGAGAAAAAGACGATTTATAAAGGAGCAACCTAACATTCTACCCACTCCTCATTTCTTAAGATGTCCACTACATGATGTTGCTCTACCAATTTGACTTATGTCCCTTAAGCGCTTTTAACTACCGTTCACCGAACCTTGACTGCGGCTTTGTTAACAAGGTTTGGCCGGTAGAGGGTCCGCAGTAGTCCCATTACCTTAGTATTGCTGTTCCACTACTAAAGAAATAATCCCGATAACACTCAACCTCTGCCTGATCCAGAGGATATCACCATTTTACCTTCACACAGACATCGAACGCTGTAAGAAGATGACGATCAGACCTCATTATTGATGATCCCGCTCGTCGGAGAAGATAAAGGCCTTGCTCAGCAATGGGTAGGGTTTGCAGTTTAGATAGCCATGTGGCACGCTGCAACTAAATTATTCGAGATTCTTCTCGAATAATTTTCAAGACTTGATGTCAACTTATTATCGGAGAAAAAGACGATTTATAAAGGAGCAACCTAACATTCTACCCACTCCTCATTTCTTAAGATGTCCACTACATGATGTTGCTCTACCAATTTGACTTATGTCCCTTAAGCGCTTTTAACTACCGTTCACCGAACCTTGACTGCGGCTTTGTTAACAAGGTTTGGCCGGTAGAGGGTCCGCAGTAGTCCCATTACCTTAGTATTGCTGTTCCACTACTAAAGAAATAATTAGCTTCCGTTAGGAATTGGGTCGGCGTTGGGGTCACTGTAGAGGGTTGATGTTTCGAATAGTCATTCAGGGCCACCTAAAGAACGTGTTAAAGAAGTCACTTGACAGTCGAGTGTAGAGTGATTAATCATCATCCATCCACTCGAAAGCCATGAATCGGGACAAATTAAGTTCATTATCATTATCTCAATATCATGATTATTACTTGCTTTGTTCAAAACTACCACAATTCAAATTACACTGTTTTAAATTTAATTTAAACATTATCATTTATTTGATTTCAATGTGAACTTCATATCAACATGGATTCTAATTCATAGTAACTGTACTTTTAGTTGTTTCACCATTATACTTTGAGCAGGCTGTGAAAAATGAAACTAATTCAGTTTCAGATTAGTAGAATAGATAAAATATAATTTCGATGACTAAAAGTAATATTAACAAATCCGTTAAAGTAGGTATAGTCTAACGGGGAATTCAAATAAAGAATCTGGCATGATAAAAAGAAGTCTCTAGGATATAACTATGAAAGGTTTAACTTTTATCAATATCAGGTATATTTAGGCAAAATAAGAAAACCTTAGGCGAAAGGTTCAAATAAAAATTACAAAACGAATGAAAATTCAAATATCAATAAAATAAGTTTATTACTTCAGGTATAAACATGCGTCTTTACTTTATACGCGTACACTTTATGTACAAATAAAACTTTAAATGAATAACGATGTTAGCATTGAATCTTAGATACTAAATGGTTTTCACTCTAGAATTTCGGCCACAAAATCAGAACTTTTTGTTAAAATATCAGCTTTATTTTTACACCCCAAAAACGACATAACAAGGAATAAATAGCGAACAGTTTTGATGCAATATCCTGTGCTGAAGCAGCCGAATTTGTTTGTTCCGTCACGTGACCAACATCACTCAATCACACTGGTCACGTGACCAACATCACTCAATCACACTGGTCACGTGACCAATATCACTCAATCACACTGGTCACGTGACCAACATCACTCAATCACACTGGTCACGTGACCAACATCACACGTGACAAGTTAGGTTATCATGACAAGTTAAGCACCAGTTCGACGCAATTAATTATGAATTTATTAAGCACAAACTAACAGTGAGTAGTAACGTGTTAGTAACACGTTGTTTAGTTCAAGCTACGGGTAGAGAGTAAGGGTTGACGTCAATAACTAAAGTCTCATCTGGTACAACTTGTCGGTACTTATCATGATCTGTAACCCACATCTCTGCTATGTCCTGCAAATTTACATTATTAATAGAAAGTTTGTTGCTTTCTAAGGTCTTCCGCGACCAATAATTCTACTAAATGTAAATGCTAAAAGTATAATGCTAACAATGATTTGACTCACATGATTGATAGCCAGCATCTGAAGCATATTAAGAAGGGATATAACGTGACAGGAGTAAAGAACATTGGAACCGTGCCAACGTTTCCCTTCTAAAATATTCCTCGTGCTTTTACTATAATCCTTTTCTTGCAGTACCACCTGTTACAAACAGTTTAGAATATTGCGGATATTCCGCCACACGACAACATTTAGTTATAGCTAGTTATTTAACGGTATTCTCGCAACTTTGGGATAGCGAGAGTTGCGATGAATATAAACTGTTTTTCCGGAATAAATCATTTTGGTGTTATTAATTATGTAAAATAATACCCCCCCCCCCCCCCTAAAACCCCCCCTCGTAATAACCTCAATCCAAGGTTGTGATGACTGTTTGTTGAGAACTGTTGTTGTCATGGTAACACGTGACAGCTGCTCTGTTCTGTGACTCTCAGCCGCCTCCCCACCCACCATCTCAACTATTTGCTCTGTATTCTCACCCTGAACACGTGACACAGTCAATAACACGTGACACAGTCAATAACACGTGACACAGTCAATAACACGTGACACAGTCAATAACACGTAACACAGTCAATAACACGTGACACATTCAATAACACGTAACACAGTCAATAACACGTGACATAGTCAATAAGGCAGAGGAATAAGACAAGAGATTCAACATAGGATTATAGGATAGGTAAGCTTAAATAATATTGTAAAACAAATAGAATCGAAGTTCGAACAGATAATTAACAGTCATGTTGAATACACTTACATCTGATTTAAGGAATAGATAAACTCCAACGAAAGGATAAACTATCCGGTCATCATGATTCTTAACCAGTGGGGGTAGCTTGGAGTCTGTGTTTACTTCTTCTACCACTTTGTACTCTTCTTTTTTAGGGACTACCATTTCTTGCTTGGTATTTTCTTTGTTAGATCCTTGTTTAGCTACGTTTTTATCGAACTCTTCAATTTCTTTGAGTTTCTGTTTAGCTTTTGCGTCGACCGTCTTTTGAGGTGCCTCTTGTTGGCAACTTCTAGGGACAAGATTGGAATTGTTAAGAGACGGTTATGGGTCGGATCAAGGTATTTTTTCTTTTTTATATGAGAATTGAGAAAAAGAAAACGTTGTATTATACAGGGTGGCCCATAAGTGACTACCCACACGCAACCTCTTAATAACTCACGTAATTCGTCTCCAAATTGCACCAAAATTTCAGAGATTATAGATATGGGTCAAACTTAGATTTCCTGAAAGTTTCGTAAGCCACGCCCAATTACAGTGGGCGTGGCGTGACACTCCCTCTTTTTCACTATTGTCTTCATAAAATGAGAACGCTTTAAGCTAAGAACTCAAAATTTTTTGCACACATTTGGCTTGATAATTGAAAACTTTTCCCAAAGTTTCAAGTTCATTGGTTAAAATATGGCTAAGTTATGACCATTTCAAAACTCATCGGATACGTGATCCGAGCACTCAGTCAGTGATCTCGTCACTTGGTTAATGGCCTGTTTGGCTCACATGCACCGCTTGATTGGTTG